CAGATTTTTAGTGTAAGAAAACTACATGCGCTAATCAATGTTTTGTACATGCAACAAAGGGGTCTGTAGACTAATATTGCTTTCCAAATGAAAAGTAATAAAAATTTCAGTACAACACTAACGTTCCTAAACTGATAAATATAAGCCGTTCATCTGAGTCGAAGAACGGTGAGCTGAGGAATTCTTCGCATAATCTAAAAGTGTATATTTTACTGCAATCCTACTTCAGTTTCTGGTAAGACCAATTCACGAATTCCTTTCAACTAACTTTCCTTCAAAAAGAAAGTAGTCACGATAAGAAACTATTTTGATACGTCTCAGTGACAAAAAAAAGCAGAAAAATTATCTTAAGATCATCGAGCAGGTATTTTAATATGAGCTTATTTTAGCCTACTCGAAAGGAATATCCTTTTAGGCGCGTCCTATATGATTTTTCCTTTTGACATGTAAGATTTGTCTCTTATCCCGCTAACTCAATTATTTCACTCATTCATCATCACCATATATGTCTAATCGAGGCGTTAATTGGTACGATCTGGCACAAACATCCATTCTCTAGTTCCGATCAAGCAGGCTCCCAAAGGCCGGGTTCTCAAACTGGATAAAAAGGAATCTAAGCCCTGAAGTTTCCTTTATCCCGGTTTGACAGAAGAAAAGGATAAAGAAAGATATCTGAGACGAATCTAACAGGGCAAGAAGAAGACTTCGAAAGAACCTGGAATAAGTAGATTGCTGATTGAAAAGGGTAAGAATTGAGGTACAACTAAATCAATTATTTAACAAAATATTCCACCAGTAAAATAATGGATAATGAATCAAGGTTGATAAGTTATTAAAGACATTCTAAACATTTTTGCTCCTTCTATGGTGTGAACGTCATAATATTCGGTAAAAGCAATCTATCAGAAAGGGTTGATACATTTAAATGAATGAATAAGAAAAAAATTTAATTGCTTATCAGTAAATTCAAGTTCAAAGAAGTCCAGGATATAAAAAGCAGTTACATAGTAAAAATTTCTAAATTAAACAAGTAAAAAACTCCATCTTAATGTGAAAATGGTACAGATAGACTAACTTTTCTGTCCTCTTCTGCTGAGCCAAAGCGTGTTCAAGGCGTTGTTCAAGGCGCCGAATCTTCTCATCACTTCCTTTGCCTGCGTTCTCTAATTTTTTCTCTGCCACTCCGACTCTAACAGCCATCTCGCTAACCTCGTTGTTTCTCAATTTAAGAGCCATCTGTAACTCTCGCAACTCAGCATCCTTGCTCTCTAGTCTGGCCCGACAACCTTCCAGCTCAGATTGATTTCGACGATAAGCAATCGCACGGGTAACAAATGGCTCTTGACACTAAATAAAATTAGTGAATAGACGAAAGGTAGCATTTGGTAAAGAAAGGATCAAAAGCGAATAAATGAGCCTAAATAATTAAAATTAAATGTAGATACAAAGATTAGATAAAAATCGACAGAAACAAAAAATAGAATGATATAAAAATAATAAAGGAAAATAGAAAGAATAAATATCACTTTAATATATTTGGCTGGACTTTTAAGCAAAAGCTGGCATTAAATTTACACTTTATTCAGTAATGTTCGTCAAAGAGTATTATCCTAGATATGAAGACGAAGACGGTATTACCTTATGTTTGGTCGCAGTCTCCTTTACCTTTATAATGATGGTTCGATCTTGATTTTGCAACTTGATCGAAGCGTCATGGAGGTTTTGTAGAACGTACCTAATCCCGTTTCCTCTGCCAGAGAATTCGTGATTTACAACATTCGACTATTGGCAGGGTACATTCCAAAAGTTTCGCCGGCATCGTAGTCAGTGAAAGGCGCCATCGTAAGCAGAGAATTGAATAAGTGGGTTGACCTCGTTGTTGCAACTTGGTTTTTTTGCCAGAGCGACTTAGTAAAACGAACCTTGTCCGAAGTTCTCTACCAAAGTCTTCGCTTGATTGACCGAGTGAAACCGGTCAACCAGATATATAAATAACGGATCTACGGAACCATAATTTAGATCCGGTTAAGAGACCCGAGTCGGATTAGAGGGGGTCGGGATGAATTGAAGGTGTCATGAGGCCACACTAAATATGCCAAAAAAGGGCACACATTTTGACTGGTCGAATGTAAACAAATAGGAAGTTGTGAAAGGGAGGAGGTTGGATTAGGGTAAGTAAAAGGATAGCGGGGGGGTCTAAAGCCCAGAGAGAAGATGCTTAGGCATGGGCATCAGCAGTTATAAATCCTCGAATATGACATAAAAGGGCAAGGACAGAAAGAGGAGTGATAGTGTAGCCATTTTCGGCAGAGCGTTGGTCGAGGGATTGACCTCTTTGACAGAGTTCGTAGCTTGGTGCTGAGAATGACACCACTGACTGATGATGCCGGCGAAACGTCTGAGAATGTACCAAATCCACGGTTTGATGCTGGGAATTATGATAACTACCACGTCAGAGGACTTCGGACAAAGTGCGTTCTACTAAGTCGCCCTGACAACAAGACCAAGTTGCGACGTGGTCAACCCACTTCTATAAATCGAAAGCAGACTGCGACCATAACGGGGGCCACATCATCTTGTACTTCTCATCTTTGATTAAACCACAGAATTAAAATTTATTATTGGAAATTGAAGGTTATCCCCTTGACCAATTTTCTGTTCAACAGCTATGGCATCACACTGTCTTTATTTTTGTGTCTACCTTCTAATGATGCATCGATCGGCCTAGCTGTTTATGACCCTTCAATTTCTGTCCCCGTTTACGTGATATTCGAGGATTTAGAACTATTGATGCCCATGCCAAAGCATCTTCCTCTCTCTAGGCTTCATACCCACCCCCTGTTATCCTTTTACTCACTCTCAACCATAGTACATTTAATTCTTTGGAGCCCTCTGACCGGCTGAATTAAGAAACACCAATATCAAAATCTGCCTCCTCACTTTTCCACTACTGAATCGCGTAAAGCACATTCCTCTTGTCTCCCTAGTTGACAGTATCATCTAAGCCTAAAGTACTATCCAATTGTTAATGCGTACAATGGCAGCTATCTCTCCTCCCTTCTGAAAAGACATGGCATCCATCATCTCTCATAAAGGTACATGCTTGAAAAATGTCCGCAAGCACACTGGGGACCAGGCTCTGGTACACCTATGCATTTAGCCTAGCCCCGCTAATGTAGTCTAATCGTCATAGTGCTGTTTCGACCTTGTTTTCGCAACTTCGTCGGAGCGTAAGGGAAACCTTGTGGAAAGTACCTAGTCCCGTGTCCTCTGCCATAGTATTCGTGATTGGCTAGGTACATTGCCAAACGTTTCGTCAGCATCGTCAGTGAGAGGCGTCATCGTAAATATAGAGTTACAATGTATCAATGAAAAGTGAAGGCAATCACTTTGACAAATTTTCTGTCAAACTGTTGTGATATCACTCCTCGCCCCTATTATTTGTTCTACCCTCTAGTGCCGCATCTCTTTCTCTCAACCCCACGTCATATGGCCCATCCATTTATTCACACAATTATGTGTTCCCGTTTCGAATGAGAGTGTCGCTAAAAGTGTATTTAGTGAAGCCCAAACATCTCCACCACTATTACCAAATGCCATTTGCAGGGCTCCTGGCCTATAATCTGACCCCCTTTTTTTATACCCGTAAACATCAAAATCATTGTATGGCTGTCCTAAATCTGGCTGTCTAAGGACCTACCAATCCCGTCCTCGATTACGCCATATTCGAGGAATTAGAGAAGATGATGCCCATGCCAGTGCCTGGGAATGTTCCTCTCACTAGGCTCCAAGCCCTTGACTCAATTATCCTCTCCCCCATCCCCACCCACATTGTGTCTCCATCTTTGGAGCCCAGTAACCGGCTTAAGTCATAATCGTTGGTGTGAGAATGCACCGCTTAACCTTTAATCTTGCATCGCGAAAAACACTCCTCTCGTCTCTCAAGTTGACATTCCCATCTAAGCCTATGGTACTTGGATGATGTCCTTGTGTGTGTGCGTGTTTGTTGGTTAGTATCTCCCGTGTTCAAGCCTGTCATCACTCACCTCCACTTCTGACGCAGACACGAAATTACATACGACACTTACACACACACATTGGTGACCTTTATCTAGCCCGCCTATATCTTTAGCCTTTAATTTCATATTCTATATCTCGCAAACAAACCCCTTGGGTAAATTTTTTACCAATTCCATGTCTGAACCCTCTCACTGCAGTCGTCTTTTCTTGACTTCTCTTTGTTCTTCGTGGGCCGCCTCTGGGTCCAAATGTCTTATTTTTGATGTCTTCGTTGAATCTCCAAGTCTGTTTAGACAGTACGCAAAATTATCTCTGACTTTTCCTTCTTCCAATCTGCTGTTCATCAGGTTTCTATGAGAGAAGATGTCCACTCCCTGATCTTCCGCTTCCTGGTGTTTTCCCCATATTAGGCCAGTCTTTCCGTTGCATTCCAGTCAATTGTGTGGCCAGTAAGGGCGGTGTTCAGCTATCTCCGATCTTTCCTTATCAATTTTTCTGCAGTCGTTGGTGCTATTTGATTCTTGTGCTGATTGTCCTTCCTGTCTCTCTAATTTATCTTTTTCCAAGTCCTTACAGTTTATTCTGTAAACTCCGGAGCACTATATTTTGCTAACTTCTTCATGTTGTGTGGGCAAGCTGGTGAAGAAGGTTGTTCTTTCTTCAGGATTGTAAGAATATTCCATGTCCTTAGTATTGGCCGTAGCTTCCAGGCCAATTTGCAAGATGATAGATCCATTGTTTTTCCTATGGTCATCATGCATTTCTTTCATAATCTCACTCCTTCCATCTATTCACCACCATCCGTATGCTGCACTGTAGTACTTCTTCTGTATTTTCTTTTCCAATAAGCATCTGAGTTAGTTTTCACAGTTCCTCTTCCCAGAACTCAGAATCAGTGAGTCGTAAGCTCCTTATGAGCATATTCCGCAGTATTACAATCTTCATCCCATAAGTATGGTTCGAATGAAAGTTAAGAGTAACTCCAGCATGCGATATCTTTGGGAGAAATTCATTTCGCTTATGAGGATCAGGAAATCGTCTAATTTTTCTCTTCTATGAGACCAAATGGCTAATAAATCATACAAGTATCGCATAATTACTGTTGGCCGCTGAGGTGACATTTTGAAATTCTCTTCCAACTTGTCCATTAATACATTAGCCAACAGAGGAGAGCGATGAGCTCATAGGCAGACCAAATATTCGCTCAGAGATACGGCCGTCGAACACTCATATTGTTAGGTTGATTAATCGGGTTAGATACGCTATACACATTCGCTCTGTCTCCAGGATGTCAATTTCTTTGTCCAAGATCTCCAGTGGTGCGGTGAGTGCTTTTTCTCCTGTGATGTTAGTGTAGATGGCCTGTACATCAAAGCTCACCAAAGTTCGTTTCCATCTAAACTTGCACCTTTGAATCTTTTGTAAAATTCGTATGAGTTCTTCATTGCATTGGATAATCTTTCATTCACTTTGTTTAATTTGATTCAGATAAATTTCGACAATTCGTACACCTCTTTATGTGTGTTGTTGCTTATCAGATTCAATGGTCCTCCTTCTTTGTACCGTATGCTACTGGGGCAC